ATAATTAAGGAAACCTTAGTCATTATATTAGACCAGTAAATTTCTGTTACATGTATTTTTGTTTTTAAGCTGAAGCAAATCAACCTGCTCTCTCAAGATTTTTTCCTGGATTTTGATTGGTTAGCATGATCTTGGTAAATAAATCTCATTATTTACATAAGTAATAGAAAAACTTCATTGGCTGTTTAACTATAAGATTTGACTGATCTGATTCGTTGATTTGACTTGTCTGATTCTAAGGGCGGACCGATTACAGACAGTTCTGGTGATGTATCAGCCAAATTAAGAAATAAAGAATGGATGAGTATTTTGTTTTGACACAATTTGTTGAAAGGTAACACAAAAGATCACTTAACATTTCCACAAATAGGTTATTAACCTCTAGCGGGTGATCAATTGATGTTGGTCTTCTGTTTATAGATTAAGGAAGTTAAATGCGATGTTTCATAAATATTGAAAGCTAAGCGTTATTATCAGTTATATATATATCGGGTTCAAGTTCAACCGACCACTCAGGGAACTCAATTACGCAGTGAATTTTTTACTTCCGTGATAAATGAATGCCGCAATGACACAATTACAGTAACTATTTATAGAGGTATTAAGTCAGCGGGAACAGCTGGTACAAATTTTCACCCACCCTCCTCCCCTTAGGCGTTGTCGCCTCACCGTACCGTTGCTTCGATTTGTCTATCTCAGTGCCTTGGCAAAATGTTTCACCCATGACTTATCTATACACGGTATTGTAATGGGTACCTATTGTGGAAGAAAAAGATACTATTCAAAGAAGCAAGTATACAGATTTATAAATATTTAACAATTGCACTTTTCGCAGCTCAAGAGATCTTTTGCTCATTGAACCGTTATCATTATATATATTGGATTTAAGTATATAAGTAACCACTGGGGAAATTAATTACATAACAGCTTTTTCTTGTCATTGGAACTGAAATGCCGCTGTAGCTTTATCACGAGTGAATTGTAATAGTCGGCATTCAAGGTTCCGCCAATGCGTAATTATAGTTTTTAAAACACTTGTGCCCGGTTTTGGAGGGCACTCTTCAGTTGTCCGCTCGGGAGGATCTTTCGCGCATTTTTTTAATAATCCTTTTATTTACAAGTCCAGTAACTGAGAAATTGTCCGATCCGTTTCCTCAAGAGAACAGGTACACAAAGACGGCACTAGATTTGGTTATTGGCCTTTGCTTGAAAATTGCTTAAAAGTGGACGCTTTGCGTTCATATTTTACAAATCTAATTTTTATCTTTTAGCAATTTCTTGAATACAATCACGGTATATTAATAAGCGACTCAGCAAGCGAATACTTCCTTGAATGACGTGATACTTGGAGGGCAACATGTACAAGGTAGTAAGTTTTGTGTCCTGTGCTTATATATTGATTCCACATTATCTTTGTAGAGATATTCTAGTGAATAATATACAGACGAGAACGTGAGGCCGGTCTGATATCCCAGCTAAACTATGTACAGCCATTCACTGTCAGTACAGTGTTTTTATTTTGGTTTTTGTAGGTTCAAACGCTTATAAAGAAAATTCGTGACCATTCTTTTAATCTACAGTTTGATGTTTCGAATTTCTAAAATAACTGGTTAAAATAAAATAAGAAAATGCTTTTCAACCAAAGAAAACAGAAACGTGGATTCATTCTTAACCTTGGGTTAACGAATCGGCTTTCGACAACTAGGAGCAATGTTTCGTAGGGTGGAGGAGGAGGGGGGGGGGAGGCATAAGGAAGGAGTTACAGAAAATCAGAAGATTAATGGTTGTCCGAGTGTAGATAAGGTTGGTTGTTTGAGTGTTTTAAATGATCATATGAAGATTGCTTCGTCAATACCACTACTTCTTTCCCAGCAATTGTCGAATCTGAACATTTAAGTGTCGCATAAGCCTTCTAATTGTGATGAAAAATTCTGACTATTAATCTGCAGCGTGTTTTTATAAGGCCTATTAAGAAAATGCTGTCGGGGTGTTCTCGGGTGGCGTAACTCTGCTTTAAAAATCTTTCATGTGGAACCTGAATTTGGCACTCCGGTGAAAAAGGAAGAAAAGACCATATCACAATTTTTGAACAACACTGAAAAACTCTTGATTACTGATTACTAATTCGCAGTTTCATACAGGACTGAAAGGATTGACAGACTAATTCATTATTACTTTCTTATTTCTGCTTTCTTATCACAATCACAACCCAATGCGCTGGAAAGATAGAAAATTCTGTATTCTGTCGTCATCAAATGAACACAACCGTGTCCCATCGGCAATTAAAAAGTTTTATAGTTACTTTCTGTTTTTTCAATGGGCGCTGAACATATTATCAAGTTTTTTGGTAGATTGGTTTTATACTTTTTCTATATTGTAAACAGATTTCACCAAGACTTATTAATTAGCTGATCGAATTCTTATTAACCTGGCGAAATACATAACTAGTTTATGCCGCGATCGGTCGCAACTTTAAATCCATGATCATTTATAGTTCCCGACGTCCTAAGCCAAAAAATGGGGGAAAAGGTGCATATTCTTTAAGTATCGCATTCTTCAGTCTCTTGAATTCTGGTTCCAGCATGCAACTATATTCGACCTCACGCAACTGTGGCCCTCATATCATGTGCTTAGTCATCATATGGTTGCACTAAAACGTCATGACCACTGATATAAATATTGCTTTCAGTTACTGTTCTCCTCTTTCATGTAAGAAATGTGTAAAAAGCGTAAAGAATGTGAACGTTAATTTAAGATTCAACAGTTTCTCATTTGAATATGCACCATCAACTCCATTGGTTTTATTACCATTTTTCCAAGTTTCGGGCGCGCGTACATTCCCTGCATCCCACTACAAAACTGCAAGCAATCGCAAAACACGAGAAAACATAACCAACCAAACTTTTAAAAACATTAAAATATGCATTGAAATCATGCTTAGTATATACTTGCCGAGCGTCCGACTAAAAAATCTTTTTAATACAAATCGTCTAGGATTAGCCAAACTATAGGTGCAGTTACACACACCATGGTAAAAGACATTTCCCACGTTAATGAAGCCGCGGCAAAATTTCACTTTGGTTTAGTTTACTGTCAAGTGGTAACATGTGGTTACTCGTGAATGGGTAATTTATCTGCTTTTACGGCTTCATTCGCGCTATTGCGTTTATATTCACTGTCGATCATAGCAGTATTTCAAGTTACTTGAAAATTTACGTATAACTTAGCTGAAATTTCATCTGGTATGTTAGTCCTGGTGATACATAGCATTATTTCTTAAAATCTTGAGTTAGATTCTATTTTACAGTTAAGCTGCATCGCACAGTGTTCGATCACGTGCCAGGAATGGAACATTTTTTTTGGAAATAGACTATCGTTCCTAAATGTACTTGTAGCCCAACAAACCAGTTCAAACGTTTGCCTCAAATTTCCCAGTTACTTTCATATTAACTTAAAATCTGCCATGTCAACATTGATCTTTCCCTCAACAGCGCGAAAGAAACCTGTTAAAAAAGTATTTTTTTGCGGTTTCATGTTGGTGTCAATTGAAGAAACCTGATTGGCTCTCTTGCCTTGGGTATCGAAAAGCCCTTGCTATTGACCATGTTAAATGTCATGGGCGGTTTCTTTCTTGTTTTTGAAGTAACCATGGATATTTCCCGCGGTAAAAAGGTCATTTACCACGGTAAAAGTGTCTCGTGTGACCGCACCTTTTCATTACAAAAATGGCCTTAGTAGCGCTTTCCATTAATGACGTCACAAATTTCTGGTCCCTGCTTTGACTCAGACATTAAACCTGACCAGTATAAGAGTTTAGTATGGGAAAGTCCCGGGGAAAGTCACGTTCGGCAACAAATTTTCGTCCTCTTTGAAGATTTTTAGCGTTAAAGGAAACAAAATCCAGCTTGGTTTCGATAATAAATATCCTGAAAATAATCCACGCGTGCCAAGACAGCGTTAAACATGGAAAAAACTGTACAGATGAGTGGTTTTATTTCTTATGCGCAGGGTGTTATGCTGCGTCATTATACCGTGGGTAAAATTATGTTAAAATGTGTGGAGAGCAGGGCTTCATAGCTGTGCATGAAACGGTGTATTTGGTTAAATTTATAGGCAAAGGTTGCTCAATTTTTTTTTCGAGTGCGTATGTTACGCTACTTAGTACTACAGGATATAAAGTACTACCCGGAGTATGGTCTACCTGGCCGCACAACAACAGAACAAACTTATACAATTTCCGGTTGTGCTAATGGTGTGCGTTTCACCTTAGTTAGATATTCTGTCTCAAGCTTGCGAGAAGCACGTCCAATTTTCTCTTTAGCAATTTCGGTTTTGGAGCATTACACAGCCAATAATGTTATGTCATGTTTCAGTGCATAACGGTGCTTTCTGCCTAAGACACAGAGCTAGGGATCCGATTTCTGTAGCCTACTTTGATCGAGTCGCTTTATTTTCTGATTTTAAACATTTATTTTAGTTGCTTGGACCAGGTTTTGCTCCCTATAGCAGTAGTGCCTTTTATATATTGGAATTAAGCTCAAAAAAGATTTTTAAAACGCTCAGTGCGAATTTTATGAACAATTTACATGTCGGAAACGCACGTTGCTCATACAAAGCCTTGGAGTAGAATGCAAAGTTTGTCTGAGTCACGCGGGGGGTCTAAGGTGACAAGACCTATTTTTAGTAATAGTGGAAAGCGCGATTACTAAAAAAGGGCGAAAGGAAACCTCTCTTGTACAGTTTCGTTTAAACGGCGTTGTATTCAACATGTTTCATGCCGTTTATTCTGTTTATGTGATGAAGCTCCATTTTCTTGTAAAGAATAAAACTTTCACCTCTTAAAAAATCATAAAAACAGTTTTGTATCTTTTATCTTTTAGCTGTGAAATGTCGCGGAGAAGTCCAGGGTCAAAAAGTAACTTTAGTTAATACGTTTCTTTTCAACAGGAAAGTAGTCTTATTTAATGGTTGTTTTCTTTCTTTTTCAGTGCAGCACTATAATGGATCCGGAGTTGTCCATGATGAATCTTGTTCGTAAAATTTGTATGTCTTTACTCGTCCTTTCTCTTGCAGCTGTTTTAAAAGGTAATTATATTGTATCTTCTACTAAAATTTCTCTTTGGGGGACGTTAAAATTCACCTTTCATTTTCCCTGGCTTAATTATCTCTTTAAAGATAGCGGTTGATGTTCTGATTCAAGCTTTTGTATTAGATTTTGCTTCCTGAATGCCACCAGCTGATATAGAGAACTTTTATTGGATATGTGAACCTTAAAGCCAATCAAATGCACTTACAATTTATTTAGAAAATAAAATCATTTTAAAGTAGTCAAGCCAATTCTTCAGAGGGGGAGGTTTTTCATGAACGTATGTTTTGAGTTTCAAACAAAAAAATCCTGTTTAAATCGGTATTCAATTGTGGTATTTATGATGTTTGCCTAATTTGCTCCACAGTTTGGACCGACTTTTTGCGACATATTTGCTACTAGCAAATTTGGTGCAAAAGCCCTTACAATTAGAAAATCCACCCTCTTAGGAATTCTAATGTTTTACGCACTTCCTAATTTTTTATCTTTCTTTACCTCTCTTACAGGTCATGGCCCTTGCTTTGAAGTAAATCCCTGTCAAAACGGTGGAAGTTGTGTGCCAGGACAGTCCTTTGAGATTAACGACTACAAGTGCCTTTGTACTTCTAGCGATTTTACCGGTCAAAATTGTTCTGAGCGTAAGTAAAGATGGTAGTAATACTTTATTTATTAATGTGTTATATGCCCTCAGGAGTCCATGTTTCAGCGGGCTTTCAAAAGAATAATAATTGCTTACACATTTCGCTTTATTAGCAAACACTTAATTAATGCTCTTCATTTTCTGGTCGAGTCAACAGATGTTGACATTTTCATTCTCTGCCGTCAGGCCTGAATTACTAATTAAAACTGATTTTTCACTGTATTTTTTTAAAATTAATTAATTAATTAATTTTTTAAATTTAATTTCCACTGTATTTTGCTGATTATTGACGCGAAAGGAAAACTCTTTATTTCTATCCGCAAAAGCCTGTTAAGAGCCTGATATAAAAAGCGAAAAGCGGAAGATGACAGGAAATGTAAGTAGGGCAAAAAACACTAAATAAAAATGCTGATTACACCGGGTTCCTGAGGTGAAAAGTACTATCTGGAAGCAAGGCATCCTGGTACGCACAGCTATTCGCTCATCGACATGGCATAGCCGTCAGGCCCTTGAACGGACAAAAGCGTGTGTCATGGGCCCTTTACTACCTAGGCGAGTGCAAAACACTCCTTTAACGCCAGCTGCTCCCTACAACATATGATAGAGCTGTTAGCTTGGATGCCTTTGGCACTGGTCAGGCCATGGCCCTGGGTGATGTGCGTGTGTCACTTGCTCTTTGAAGTTTGTCTTATTGTTTTTAGTTGCGAGAGTCCGTAATAACATGGCGGCGTGAGAGGAGGGAGACTGAACTCTTTGACAACATTTACATTTATTTAGGGAAATGACATACATTTACACTAACACTGATAGTAGTACAAATCTAAGGGACGCCAATATTTTTAAAAGCTTATCAATGCCAATAGTCTTACCTTATCAAATGGGGAAAGAAAAAAAATGCAATTTATTCCCAACAGAAAAAGCATAAATGTACAACAAAGAGTATACATTTTTGTATAAATGTTTAAAGATTACGCTCGCCCGTTAAATCTAGCCATACCTTAAAGAAGTAGGGGCTGAAAATGAGTTTGCAATATCACTAGAATTCATATAGTGGAAGGATTTTACCGCAAAGCTCTGTAATTTTGAAGGGAATTGAGCTACTTAATGTCGCCTCTATTAAATGCAGTGGATTTTTAACTTTGGTGTCCTTTATATTTATATTGTTGTGGCTCTAATGCGAGAGTAAACTGTGCTACCTACAGAAAAAAGGGTTATGACATTTGCAATTTTTTTTTCGTTTTTCAGTCTCGTTTAGAGCAAGCATTGGTATAAATAGTTTCGAGGCATATCTGCAAGGTATCACAGATGAGACACCAGACATGACTAATTTCAAGGCAAGGAGATTATTTTCCTCTGTCCTCTTGAGCTTTACGGGTAAGCTAGCCTCCGGACCAAATACTTTCACGTGGACCCTTAATAGCACCAGACTGGGACCAGTCAGCGCAGCAAATGGTTCGTGGACGATAAATAAAGCAACGCTGGCTGACGAAGGAGAATACCAAGTTTCTTTGTCAAACCGCGACTATGGAACTCTGTTAAGCAGAAAAATAAAGCTGAAATTTTCAGGTTAGTGCACTTTAATATATCGACTTAGCCAAAGCTAAAAGCGAAGCTCAGTCGTGGGATCTTTAAAGAAATAGAAATGTCTAAAGTATATCAACTTTTGCCATGTCGGCAAAAGACGATAAAGTGGGCAACAAAATTTGCTAGAAGCGCCAGTATAAAAAATGAAGGCTAAGTCTTAAGCCTAAGGTGTAAGAGAGAGCGGCGAGAGAGAAAGATCGAAATAGTTTCGCCAAAAAATTAAAAAAAGCCTCAACCTCGGAGCCAATGCAAGTATGAATTTTGATCAGTATTTCCGAACTGGCCTATTGGAATCAGCTCTTTGTCGACGAAGAAGAAGCCTGGCCAGCAGGTGTTTGAAAGGGAAGGGGAAGGGGAATAAGGGCGCGAGAGCGGGAGGGAAAGGAACCCCTCCCTGCTTTCCTCTTGCGTGCGGTCTCGCGCTCAAATTCCCTTCTCCTTCCCTTTCGAACGCCTGTCATAATGGCGTTATCTATACTCAAGGAAGTAGAAAATTCTGCATTAGTGATAAGTGCAAAGTTAAATTCATCCCTTCATACAGCTGTATCTTATCTTATATAAAAACATCTTAGACGACTAAAACTTTTGTTTGCGATTCTGCGTGGATGAGATAAGCGCAGCCCCCAATACAAATGGAACGCTTTTTTATTTTGTTGTTTTTTTTTACTAACAATTATTTTGCAGATATGACTGAAGAGAAAAAAGACCGTAATTTTTTTACTCTTATTTCTTCGTTTTTAAAATCGTCTTTGAAAACAAAAAAAAAAGAAAGAAAAGGAAAACCATGTACCGTGTTATTCCAGGCGCTGCACTGGGAAGTCAAAATATTTAATCAGGGGCACCCAACGACTCTTCTCTGTAAAATAACTGTTCCAAGGAGAAAATATTGCTTAGAAATCAGTTAAGCTAGAGAAAGGCTTAAAATTTCTGGTCAACCGTTACATTCGTCAAAAATACTCGGATTTTTTCAACTACGCCGATTTTCGGAGGTTGTGTTTTTCACTTTTTATTGTGATTATAGGTAGTCAGCTCATTCTCTTTTGAATATAGCTAAAAAAAACTCCTCTAATTTCGGTGATAATGACAGAATGTCCCCTAGAATTTTCTAACGAAAGTACGGCTACTCCGTTTCTTCAAACTTTCGATCAGATCCATCATGGTGGCTAAAAGTTTCGTATGAGACGAAAAAACCACCTAAAACTTTCTAGACGGCCAAACAACCCTAAGACATCCGAACAGATTAATAGGTTTCAATTAGGCAGCACCAAATTAACCAATCAGGCATCTAAAGCATAGACAAAATCATTTGAGACAACTCTGGAGTCACTGGAAATATTCGGTCGTTTGGCTGATTTAACGAGTACCGCTTTAGTCTATTCGAGTAAATAAAGTAACTTCTTAAATTAGGTTTTTTCCCCATGTTTATACCAAACATCTACTGGAATACAACAGAGGTTAGATCAACAACTGTTGTTTTTTGGTCTCCTTGTAGTCGCGGGAGCATTTCACCAACCTAACGAGCCCATCAACATCACTATGGAGCAGAATAAACCGTTTCTTCTTCGCTGCCCACCTCGTGCGTACAGCTACCGTGTGACTTACGACTGGGTCGCTCAGTCATCACAGATCTCAATAGCCAAAGACCCGTTACTGGCTCCACGAATCCTCATGGAGCCAAGTGGTGATCTACTTTTCTCGTTCGTTAACGGCAGCGAGTTGAGCCCAGTCCGATGTAGGGTAATAGACCTTTTTGGACGCAGCACTGTGGGCCCTCCGATGTATTTTACCGTAATACCAGGTATTAGTGGACCTTTTCTGTGTCTCGTTTTCGATCGATACGATACTATTCTTGACACCGTCAATTGAAAGTTTATTGATGATCATGCTGTGTCCTCATCACTTTATTTCAGGATATAGTCGTTTCGTGTTTTCAGCCTAAAAACAATGAAATAATTTCAATGGGCAAACACCACGCTTATTACACGTTTGTTTCAAATGAATCAACTTTAAATTTGCCTTCTTTTAGCGTGCCTAGTTTTGTGACGAGCTTAGGATAACCCAAATTTTATGAAAAATGTTCGCGTAAATGTTTTAAAAAGTAGTCAATGAAATCCAATTTTTAGTAGCACTTTGAGGTGATGTCGCTTGCCTTTAGAGGACACGTCAAACTTAGAAGATAAATGTTCAGTAAAACGTTTATGTGATTAATGAATTTAAAAGTATCTTAGACGAGGGAATCAGCATTCCTTTAGTGCATTTTATGTTTGCTCTGTTTTATCTAGTTACACAAAGCCCGAGTTTCTTGTCGTCGCTGACATTTTACACGGTTCCAGATGGCAATTATACCATGCTTACTGGAGATCAGTTCTACCTCAATTGTACAGCAGGAGGAAGGTATGATATATATGGGAGGAGGAGAAGGGGGCGGCATTTACCTCCAGATACGAAAAAAGTTTCGGGACAATTTTTTTCCTGGCTTGAAACATTTTCACTTTTATTTCTCTGTAGTAGTTGATTGTTTAGGGCTGAGTAATCTTTTGCCTTTTAGTACGTCTCTCTATTTCGAACACCTTTCGACATTTTGTTCAGAAACTCCCTCGTTTTTCGGCTCGCTTTTACTTTTGAAATATTTTATACATAATGGGATTGAAGGCACTGCTAATGTTTCGCCCTCTCACTCTTGTAGGCCGGTCCCTCGAATACTGTGGTATAAAGATGGATCATTAATAAATGATTCGGGAGACTTCTTTCAGCATCATCGTTTTAACAGAACCCTACGTCTTGGCTCACTAAGCTCGATAATACACGATGGAAAATATATGTGTAAAGCAGTCAGTCCGTCTGGAAATTTGACAACCTCTTTCGATGTCAAAGTCATAGGTATGAAACTATCTGAGTTAGATACATAAAATTAAATCGAACCACTTAAAGGAACTGTTCACAGAAGGTCCGGAAACATATTTTTTTGGAAGAGAATTTATTGCAAGCTAAGATATATGTTTAATTTCCATGTTATCACTGAAAGATCCTGTTTTACTCTAAATATCATCGAGCGAACATAGAGATTTGACCAAGCACCATGGTCTCTTTTGATTACAAGAGGATAAAAACAAATTTCATGCTATAATTACTTTTAATTGAAATGTAATGTATTTTTGTGTATGTATTTAACAATTTTTGGATTAGGGTTTTGCAACGAAGCCTTAATAATTATCGCTATCATCACGATAAAACCGAATGCGACTGTTCTACCAGCCACAAAGAAGCACACAAGAAACACCTACTGAAAGACGTTTTCAGCGTGGAGCACCCGTCGTGGACTTAGTGACGGTTTGACCCTCCTTTTGACTTAGTCGACAAAGTGATTGAGTACCGCTGATAACTTGCTTTTTTTGTTTTGCTTTTTCCGTCACAGACAACGTCACAGCGATTTACAACGATCAAGGCTCGCAATATGACTTCAAAGCTGGAAAGCTGGGAGGAACAGTGATAATGTTTTGTAACACAACAGGAAACCCAATAATCAATAGGACGTGGTTTTACAAGGGAGTTGAAATTAAAAAAAGGTTGAATTGCGTGAGCTATAGGCCCAGTCACACCCAAAAATAAGTTTAGTAATTCAGATTCAACAAAATGAAAAAAAAAAATAGTGACAGCAACTAAACTGAAAACTGTCTCCTTTATAATATTTTAAGCTTGAACTTACATCTGTGCTTCATCTGTGCTTATTAAAGGAGAATTAAATTTTTTGGGAAAAATATTGTTGGTACCACATATGTACACCACTCATCGTCAACTTCACTCCCGTTATAGACACCCGGTCTAAAAAGACACCCTGTTTAAGACACCAAATATTGAAATTGTATAGTCAGAAACCATACCCTGGCCATGGGTTCAGTCTGTTCAGCGGCACATACTCGTTTACGCCAAGTAAGGGAGTGCATCCCGGGCAATGAATGCACAACAGAAAAGATGCATGATTGAAAGCTGTTGAAAATTTCGGGTTGCTTCCCAAAAATTACCTAATTGATGTTACTTTATTTTAGTCTACAGCTTGCCAATCGATTTTCTATCAATCATTCTAATGGTAACCTGGAAATCTGGAACCTTCAACTGAACGACTTTGGTTTTTACCAGTGCTTTGCCAAGAACAAATTGAGTGAAGATGACCGAAGAACGTTTTTAGTTGTGACTGGTATGTGTGTTTGAAGAGTACAGTAGAACATTTCCAATCTCTTCCTTTTTGCAGACTAGCGAGCGAAAACAAGTGCTAAGCGAGAAAAAACAAAAAAAAAGAAGGACAAGGAAGAACAGTGGGGTCCAGGATACCCACTGATCAAGCGACGATAAAATGTAAAGTACCCTGCTTCCACAATTTCCTCATTATATAATGAAGTAAGGAAGCGAGCACTTTCTACAAGCACTATCCAAGACCAAATACAGCCAGACAGTGTCTCATACTCGTTCAGCCTGAAAACAACACGAACACAAAAGCATGCCAGTTAAGAAAATGAGTCTCTCCAGAGTACCCATCTGATAGTCAACGGCCGATAACTAAATTTGCTCCGGCATATGCCCACATGGAGAAAGGGTAATAATTTCTTTGAGATTCTGCCTTACGTCCTTCATAAACAAACCCTCACTGATTTTTGTTGATTTTTGTTGTTCTTTTTTCAGGACCTCCTCTCCCTCCCATCAAGGTATCAATAACCGACTGTGCCAACCACACCACTAATGTTACCTGGGATGTGAGGCTTACTCCAGAACTCGATCCTCCATCCGGGTACATCATTGAGTGGAGAATCCGGGATAGGATAAATCCCTTTTGGCGCGGGTTCTCTAGGCTTGCTGTTATAGGTGGAACCCGTTTGTTTGTATTGAAAAATTTAAAGGCCTACATTGAAATACAATTCCGCGTCCGCGCTCGAAATAGACTTGGGATTGGATTTCCCGGATATATGGCGCCGTGGCCTACTTGTGTTACCAACAGCAAAAGTAAGTATCGCAGAATAATATAACACATCCTCAATAGCCCATGTTCAATATATTAAAATTCTATCATGACTCTGCGGCTTTAGGATCAAAATTGCAAATGTTTCAAGACTCCATTGCCTCACAATTCCCAGAAGAGACTTGAGCACAAAGAAAACCAAACCAAATATAGAAAATGACCAGAAAGCCTCGGAATCATGTTGGAATTTGAATATATCGAACGTAGGCTATTTACATGCAGCATCTCACCGCTTCTCTTCGCAGCAAGTCCTCAGAAAAACTCACGATTTAGTATCTGGAATTCTACTTACGTTGCTTTTTATTACAAACATGAGATGACATTATGACGAAGTACCTTTCAATATTCGGCGTTAATTAATAATCGCATTTATTTATATACGATTAAAAGGTACAGCAGAGCTGATGTTTTCGTGTTAAAACTAAAAATATTATCAAAATCGTTAAAGCAATCAGTAACGCGTACTATTTACAATAAAATTCAAAGCCTAAAAATATTCACTTAAAAAAAGCTTACTTTTCAGTATCAAAATCATTGAAACAGTCAGAAAAAAAAACTGTTTACGATAAAATTCAAAGCTCGAAACTATTTACTTAGAAAGCCAACTTTTCAATGTCCTTTTAAAAGAGTCAAAACTTTATACTTCCCGGCCTTGTGTGACTCTCCAGAGAGTGCCAGAATGTTAGTGCTTTGTAGAAGCTGGACGTGCAAAGTAGCTCTGTCTTGGGAAAAGCTATATATCTTAAACGTAAGCTTTCGTCGTAAATTATAACTGCAGTCGTACTGTTTAAAAAAATTTGTGGATAGTTTCGGGGAACAGGGGTCTTTTTTGCGTGAGCATGCGCACTAAGACTTGATAAAGAGCACGCGACCAGTGACAGCGACCGTGGTGCATAATCATAGGAACCAAATTCTTCACCTTGAAAGCTTGCTTGAGATTCAAATGGTAGCAGAAACTTAGGAAAGACCTTCGTTGTACAAAATAAGTAAAGATCTCAGTGGTGATTTAAAGTGGAGACTGATGCGCTGAACGAGGTGAAAGAGCAAGTTTGTCAAGGATGTCTGACACGAACATGGCTGTTTGTTGTTGCTTGAGGCTCGACTCGTGTCTTGATTTATCTTCAAGAACCGCAAAGTTTGGCATAGAACGCATTGCTGATGGGTAGATATTGAGCAAAATGTTCTTTATTTAGTGTTTGTCTGCAAAATTAATCCCTTAAGTATTTTAGCGATACAAAGTTTGTTTATCCGAAAATTGTAGAAGTTCTTGTTTTTGCGTGGACTAACATTGTAAAACATCTTTTTGCTTTTACCCAGAACTTAATGAGTGCTCTAACAATTTTTAACTTTTAGTCTGCATCACATGTTTACTGTACTTTTGGGAAACCTAACCGTTTGTTTCATCAAAATCGGTCACAAGATTCGACTTTAATTTCGGTCGTATTGAATGCAGTTTTGACTGTGCGTCTTTGATATTCATTTTTTTTTATTTTTCGAGACATCTCACGAGGGCCGAGTTGTTCAAAGCTGGGTTAAGATAACCCAGAGTTAGTGCAAGATTTGAATTCAGATTTGAAAGCTTAAAAATCATTTCAGTTTTAATTCTTTTTTTCTACAAGTTGATGATTGGAAGCTCTAAAAATAACAGAGAAAATTATCCGAGAAAATGCTTTTGAACAAAAGAAAAAGAAACCTCGGTTAAATGTAACCCTGGGTTAAGCGCTAATCGGCTTTCGAACAACTGGGCCCAGGTGACTAATCTACGTCTCGTGTGCTCTTAATTTTATAGCTAAAAAGTGCTGGGAAAATTGTAGAACATTATGTTAATTCACTGCTGAACTGAACACCGGCTTTTGCGCACTTCGAACCCACTCGCTGAAATTTGCAATGATATTTTTTTAACATGTGTGTTCCTTTTCCATTTCAAAACAAAGAAAGCTGAAAGTGTTTACTTTGTTCATAGTTTGATGAGGTCAGCGCAATCCTACAACCACTACATATACGCGCGCTGTTGTCCAGATCAAGTGGGAAGATGAAATTTGATCGTAGCTCGTGGTATGTTTAGGCCGGTCTACTTCGCTTTTGTGGAGACCATGTTAGCGTTTTTTGTGCAAACTACACATTTTGTACCTTGACACCAGAGGTCCGTTCTCAAAATACTTAAGATGAAATAAACCGTGCTTACGGTTGATATTAAAAGCTCTTTCTCCTCGGCACTTCGCGCCTCGTTGACGCGGCTTGGCCGCGAACCATCAGTATCGATAAGAAAAAAATATATCTGAAACCCAGGGTACACATCTTGTTAAATCACGAGCACATTCGCCAAGACCAACGAGCAAAATAATCTCGATGATAGCTTTGAGACGTGCCATTTTGATGAAGGCAGACCCTGTGGTGAGCCTGTAGGCAAATCGCTTGTTCAGCGGTCGCGCATGCTCATGCAAGAAAGACCCCTGTTGTTTCGTACTTTAGATCATATAGATTATTTAATGAAAACCAGTTGGCATGATCTAGCATCTTGTCGCTCGATGTGTATCAGTCTAAACCAAAAATAATTTTAGCAGCCGGAACACGGATTTTTTCTAGCTCCAGGAAAATTAATAAATTAATTAATTAATTGCCATTTATTGATTAATTGGAATTAATCAATTAATTAATTGCTATTGATTTTCTAAATTATTGGAATAATCGTTTTCATGTCATTGACTCCTGCGATTTAAGCTATGTTCACACTATACAGGATAGGCTTCCCTGTCAACTGAAAAGCTATCCAATATAGTATGAACAGCAACGGCAGAGAACCGGAACAAGTCGTTCTCACGCATCGAACATCGTGCTGGAGCGGTTGGCCGAGAGGGTGTGGTTCTCTAAGCCCCAATTCTCACTCCTAAATATTTACTTCCCTCTCAGTCCTACTTCTTCACTTCCGCTACTGTCCTAATACCTGTTCACACTTCTCCAAAGTGTGGCACAAAACCTATCCGGTATGTGACCTTCCACTTTCGAGATCGGCGCGGTGCAGCTTCGCTCCGTTACAGAAATAATCGCGCCGAAATCACCGTTCTTATATGTGAACAAAAGCCCTATCTGGTGTGGTTTTCTTGCCGACACAAGAGCTATCCGTTAGCCGTGAACACTAGGCTTTGAAAGGAGCCTAGTGCTAGTATAATCTTTGGCATAATTCGTCATTACGATCCATTACGAGCATAATTTTTATGTATTGTCTAATTTCATACCGCGCGGGAGCCTGGCACTACCGCATTTTCCCGGACTTTTTAAAAAGTCCAGTTTCAAAATGGCGGATGGTCGGAGTAAAAACTCGAATGAAAGCATTCTTTTTCGAAGAAATATAGATCAATATTCCCTCGGAGAATCTGTCTAAACTTAGGAAGGAAAGGATGCAGTATTTCTGCCATGTCCTGAAGCTAAACTTAAGGAGCCGACACTCAGCAAGTGCAAGCAATTGTTCGATGAACAGGCCCGGGTGAACAGGTCGCTCGAACCAAACATGGTTATAAATTTTCTACAGCAAAGGATCGTCTGTTTAATTCTACCCGCATATGAAAAGTAGAGGATCATTGCAGGAAGGAACACAGATGTGATTGTGCACGTACCGATCGTAGCCTAAGTATGCTGGAGCAAAATTTAAAAGGGCAGTACAGAAGGGCTTGCCTGGATTATTCCCGTCGCGGAAAAGAGTTATGTCCGTGAAAGGTACTGAGTGTAGTGAACTTTGTGCCGTTATGTATGTTAAACCTAGTGTTGTTCACATAAAGGGAGATAAGGGACTAGTCTATACTTGAGATATGAGTCACGTACGATCGGTTTTCCATCTACATGCACTGTAAGAACTAACACTAATGTTCGACTAACGGGTTTAATGTCCTTGACGTCACAATGGCCTGCTCTTTACGGAGAGTTCATTCTGACTTGCATGTTTGCTTTTATCCATGTTCAGTGAGAATTGTTTCCGGTCTGATCTTTAGGATTTCTACTGAGACCGTACGCCGCGACGGGGAAAAAATCTAATGTAAGCCTTGCCGACCTAATATACAATATTGCCCTTTCGCTCAGGGTCACTCTGGCGTGTTTCGCTTTTTGGTAGTTTTTAAACCCTAACCCCAATATTCGGTCAGATCCAGCGCCGTAAAAACAGCTAGACTCGACGGTTGTTTGTTCAAAATTTTTGTCGAACAATTCGGGAATCGTTCCTATACTTCCAAGTAGCGAAAGTCTCCGATTAGATCTTTCTTTTCTCGAAATTTTTAATCGAGGTTCGTTATAGCAGTAAAACAACTGTTCTTAGCTTTAGAATAGCAACTTTCTGGAGTAATCTGGACCTTAATATCGTTTCAACTGCACGCAATGACCTTTGCTTTACGTTCTATTTTGGAAGCCATTTTCAATCCCGGAATTTAAAAAGTCCGGGAAAATCCGGTAGTGCCAGGCTCCCGCGCGGCATGAAATTAGGCAATTGTCTGATAAAAGCACTGCTAGCATAATTTGCACTTTTGGCTAGTTTTGCATCACAAAATTGTCATTTATTGATCATGCAGCCAATTATTTTTTTCCCAGGATAAGTGTTACGGGGAAATTCAAGTAACAAAAGCAATAATAATTTTTTTTTGCCTGCTTATTGTCACATTCATGGGACCTGGATCCCACAGGACATTTTCCACAGGACTCAACGCATGCGCATATAATTCACTAGCTCGGCTGCCCAAGATATGGCGTAGTTGTGCTGCTTTTTGTTTGAATTTTCAGAGCTTTTAGAGAACGATTATGACTCTTCAAAGTTTCTAGATAAATAGAGAAAATATGTTTGCCATTTGATTGTATGTGGCATAGTTATTAAGGTGTTTTTACCAAATTTAAAGTAAAAAGGGGAACCGTGCATAATTTCTGCATATTTTGCTAAAATGAGCATACGTTACAAGACTAGCATAATTATTGGTATAATTTTAGAAATATACAAGCACTACTAGTAGCATATTATGTTACTTTTGCACAATCTATAAGAGCCTGATGACGTTACAAATCATGACCGTTTCGTTTTAGAGCCTTCACGTTATCCAACGAGTCTTAGAGGTTCACCCGGGACTTTTGATGGAGCGCTTGATTTAACTTGGAGGGTGAGTATATATTAAATAGATCGTGTTTACAAAAACGTTTTTCAAGTGGTGTATTTAGAACGTTTATTTAGAAAATGAAGTATTTTCTGCTGCAGGCTCTTAACCGACTAGACTGGAGCGGACCATCCTGTTTCTACAGAATTCTTTATCGTCTGAATGTTCCGAGCGCAACCTGGAACAACAACACTAGAGTTTTCGGCGACTGTTCAAAAAGGCAACATAATCATTTTCAGCTGCAACCTAACAGTGAGTACGAAATCGCAATCCGAGCCGAGAACTCTAAAGGCATTGGGCCATCTAGTCCTATCGTGAAAGTTCTGTCTGGACAAAGCCGACCAGTAGCCCCCACGAACGTAACTGTTGTCCTTCTGAATGCGAGTAATGTGGAGGTGCTGTGGAGCGCAATACAGGTTGTCCCACCCAAGACAGTTGACGGCTACTGGGTATGTAATCTTCATGGTACTTGCTTGCAGGCTCTTTACCTGTATTGTTTTTGCTCGAATTAAAGCAAAAACTGAACAACAACGGCGACGACGGCGATAATAATAATAATAATAATAATAATAATAATAATAATAATAATAATAATAATAATAATAACAATAATAATAACAATAATAATAATAATCCCTGGCAACATCAACATACATGAACTCCAGAAAATAACTCTTCTTTCTACAGCCCACCTTCTCAGGCGGGTCCTCTCCATCAAGTAGAAACCCTCTTTGCCTCCCAAAGTCCATGGAAACTCACTCGCAATTACACTAGTATATGATCGTACGGGTGAACGCAGTCCTGAATAAAACTGTTGTTGTTGACAGTGACTGACGTTTCGACAATCTGTGCCGTAGTCAGCTTCAGAGTCAAAGTGAGTTGTATCATGTCAGTTGATGGTATGATAATAATAATGATAATAATAATAATAATAATATCGAAGAAAATATTATCAATTTCTAACACTGTTTCAAAAATATAATCTCTATAAACTAAATAACTTTAAAAAAAGTAACGTTCATCATAAATATCGTAGTTAAGTGTTTTCTTCTAAAAGATAAAGCAAAAAGCGATTCTATTATCAGTGTTATTGAAATTTGACATCCCTAATTGAAAATCAGTTTTCACTAACTAGATAATCTTATACTTCTATTTAAAAATCTTTACTTTGCCAGCCAGACCAATACTCAGGGTCTTAAAATAATTGAGGAGAAAGTGCTGCCTTTGTAATAACATCTGCAAACGGTTAGACTTTCTAGTCTTCTCGGATAAGGACGATAAACCGTAGGCCCCGTCTCACAAGCCCTTGCACATGTAATAATAAATCCGTGGGACGTTAAAGAACCCACACACTCTTCGTAAAAAGTAGGGCACGTAGGGCCCGGTGCATGTGGTGGTCTATCTCACTTTCACACTCATGTATGGGGGCATTACTACTCATTCCTTCATTACTTGTAAACTGCACCTTAAGCAGTCTGGCAAAGTCCCCCAACCAGTGTTGTAAATTATCCCTGAAAAGCCCTGAGGGGAGTGGATAATAAGATATTTACAATTTACAATTACAATTTACAATTTACTTTAAGTGGATGGGAGATATTCTAAATATTCAAGCAGTCACATTCTCCACAGTTGTGTCCGAGCGTGTTCACTTCGGTGAAAGTCTATGAGAACTATCTAAATACGGGGATTTATGGACATTTAAATCAGTGGGATATGAGGTACGAACGCTAAGATAACACCGGCCCGCGTTGTAGTTCCACTACTTAGAAGATACTGATTGGAGGTCGAGGAAGTGCTTGTGGATGTAGGGTCCATGTAGGGTCGATATGAGGTCGATGTAGGGTCGATATGGGGTCAATATGGGGTCGATGTGGTAGAGGGAAAAATAAGCTAGTTTGCCTTCGCCCTCATTAATATGCTCGATTTGCGCGCCAAGAATCATTGAACAGGAACTAGGACAATGACAGCAGCAGAAAACAGAATGTGCATAATTGCGTTACGGCCTTTGTCAGTGATTTCAATTCACAGGCGAGTTAGCGCTTATTTCTTCCATAAAAAATTCCTACTCTTACTTCCGGTTTTGGCAAGCCCAGGCAGATACTTTCTTTCTATTGTACAGTCGAACCTCTCCTTATGGACACCTCTCTAATATGGACACCTCTCTAATACGGACAGTTCACTTGGTCCCGGGAAGATGCCCATACATTCTTTGTAAAAATAACCTCTATAATACGGACAACGGACACGAAATCTCGGCCCCAGAGAGAAAATTCATACAAACTGAACCTCTTTATTACGGACACTCCAATGATGACAGTTCTTATTCAACACGATTTCCTGTTTGTCGTTACATATCAGAGTGTAATCAATTGTCTCATTGTTCATACGATAACAGTATCATGTTAATCGGTAAAAATTATACTATCGACATGTTGATTGCCATTTATCATTTCTTATTCTTTGAAGACTCTCCAGTTGTTGCTTTCCTTTTTCTACCCCTTTTCTTTTCGACATTTTCACTTGAAAGACTATCTTTACGGACAGCTGGGTTTTCTGTAAGATCCAAGCACTTCTCCAAACGCTCAATGAGTTTGTGCGGTCCAGTGAAAATATATTCACATGGGATCTCCATGCCTAATCCTCAGAACTTAACCATGTTTCTGATTTTTTTACTGCACAAGGTGAATCAAATTTGGCTGATGAGTTGTGCAAGATTATTTCAAAAGCTCAGTCGTTGTATGTCAAAAAACGACTAGCGAATGCTGTTCAGAAGAACATTACAGACTTCTTTAACGCAAAATGAATCAATAACAAAGAACTTTCATTAAATACTCTACTGTATGTTAGTGTTCGCTACACTTGTTACTGTTCTATTATGTTACTGTTCGGAAACTGTATTATAGTTTGCCATATGTTTTTGGAATTGTACAGCTTGTATTGTAATGATTTGCACTGTCCATTAAACAATTCAAATGCACCTCAAAGCCTTTTTTGGGCCAATTTTGACTTAAAGAACACTTAATACCTTCAATGGAGCCTTTAAAGTGACGTAATATTCATGACCTCTATACAACGGACACCTCTCTAATACGGACACTTTGCTCTGTCCCTTCGGTGTCCGTATTAGAGAGGTTCGACTGTACTGTCATTGTTTTTTAATCTGGAAAAAAAAATATGTTAGTTACGATTACGTTGTTCATTTTCAGATAGTGATGTGGCCAGGTGTTTATAGGCTAGGACGACGCAAAAGAGCATCCGGAGAGTTACCAGTGGCAGAGACACCTTTCAGAGATGGCACCATTGGCGTGCATGTGAACAACAGCCTTAGCGGGGTGGTGACGGGATTAACACCCTGGACGGTGTACACTGTGGCTGTAGCGGGCTATAACAATGCTGGATTGGGTGAATTGTACAGAGACGTTATTACCACCGTAGATTCAAGTAAGTGTATCTTTTTTTTGCAAGTAAACAGAAAACTTTTTCACACTATACGTCCAAAGTTGTTTTCAGATTACAGAATGTCCTAAATTTCTAAAAAAAAAAAAAAAAGGTCATGATTTTAATCGATACTGAGGCTGTAGCTATGTAGTTCCTCATTAGTTTCGCTTACTTTAGCTACGAGACTAAAAATGCAAGCGTTCCGTTTTCTTTCTTTCTTTTTTTCTTTTTCGTGTTTGCGCGCCAAAAGGGAGACATGGTCCCAGGCGTTCCTAGCGGACTCGAGGGAACCTGGGGATAAGAATGGCGGCGTGACAAAAGCCATGCAAAGAAAGCTTAGGAAATATTAATGCGAAAAATGTCGAGCTTTTCAGGAACGGTCGGTTCACGATTTCTATCGCTTGAAAGCGTTGATTACTTTGGAACAAGTGATTACTTCAATTTAGTGGTCGAAAAAAAGAAGAATCTTAATGAGCAAAACTTCGATGGTGAGGCTAACTGGTCGGATGTTGTAAACTTTCATTGTCTACAAATGAGTCTTGTGATGAGCATGCGGTTTATTTTCGGCGCTGATTGAAATGACGCGCCATGTTCATCACGTTTTTGGTGTAATTTCTCTCGAATTCCGTGTATTTACACACGCGTACTCACAAATCGTCGAATACGATTTAAAAAGTAAATATATATCCTGAAGAATGCTCGACCTTCGATAAAGTAGGGAGTGAAAAACTTTTAGTGTAGGAAATCCTGTTTCATGTAGAATTAATCGCTTCCTCATTTGTTATATATAATCTCCAAGCAAGCGAGACTCAACGCTTATAAGAGCGTTCTTGTTTAATTTCGTCTTGCTTAACCTTTTCTACGGGACATTACGTTGAAAATCACGTTTCTGTTCTTTTTCTCTCGAATCGAGGCCCTTTTATTGGTTTTCGTGTATTTATACACGCATACTCAATCAACTCAGAAACAAATCGTCGAATACGATATAAAAAGTATTATCCTGAAGAAGACTCGACCGTCGGTAAAGTAGGACGTGAAAAACTTTTAGCGAGGAAATCCTGTTTCGTGTAGAATTAATCGCCTCCTAATTTCTTATCTAATCTCCAAGCAAGTAAGACTCAACGCTCATAAGAACTTCTTGTTTATTAATTGTCTTGCTTAACCTTTTCATACAGGACATTGCGCTGAAAATCCCTGTCAAAATGGTGGAAGTTGTTCGCCAGAACAAATTCTCGGCTACAAGTGCTTTTGCACGAGCGACTTCACCGGTAGAAACTGCACAGAGCGTGAGTAAAAAGTGGTTATGAAATTTTAACCAATGAGTAACGTGCCAAGGATTCCAATTTTGTGAAGGCTTTCAATGCCAGGCGGAGCAAAATACTTTGACACATTTCAAATACAAATTCAAATATAAAGCATTAGGTGATATCGCCGGTGTGATAATTGCAGGCCTAGAGTAGCCTTGCATGGCTTACGAACATCATTTTTGAGGCTAGAGATAACTTTTCGGTCTTCGTGGCAGCGATGATAATGAAGCTAGCCCTCTTAAATATAACAACTTCACACACCGGTCTGTCTTGTTGTGCTGATACTTTAAACGAGAAAAGTTGCTGTCAATCCATATAAAACGGCTTTTGGAGACTTCAAAGACTGGGCTTAACTTGTAAAAGACTTTTGTAAATGAGCAGCTCGAAATTTTGCCGATACCTTTTTCACCATGAGCTAGTATGGGTGTAAGAAGCTATAGAGAGCTATTTGAAAGAGTTTTCGTTAGAGAGAGAAAACATATGCATTTACATTCACACTGACTCAAGAATTAATTCATGCGAAAATAGATAAAAATAAAATTGTTTGTCTGGGGCTGAAATATGTGTAGCAAAATTTTGAAAATTCGTATGCTGGGATTTTTTTTCTCCCCAAACCTCTGAAATTTTTGCGGGGGATTCAACTGTGCAATTTCGGACTTTCAGCCTTCTGAATTAGACATGGCGAGAGCTGACTGCGTTGATCAATACCGTCATTGTAGAATCCAGAAAAACCTCGCTTGAGGGCTGATACATTTTTTCTATTTTTCTTTTTTTCAGTCTCATTCAGAGGAAGTATTGGCATAAATAGTTTCGAGGCATATCTTCCCGGTATCACAGATGAGACACCAGACATGACGAATTTCAAGGCAAGGAGATTATATTCCTCTGTTCTCTTGAGCTTTAAGGGTAAGCCAGCCTCTGGACCACATACCTTCAAGTGGACCCTTAATGGTACCACACTGGACCCAGCTTCATATGTTGAGATTTCATCAGGGAGCAGTGCTTTGAGGGTATATGGTAGATCGCTGGCTAATGAAGGAGAATACCAGGTTTTCGTGTCAAACGAATTTGGAACACTGTTTAGCAGAAAAATAAAGCTGAAGTTTTCAGGTAAGTACACTTTATACTTGTACTTTCTTACCTTATGGATGTTAAACCACAGTTAAAGTCGAAATCAACTAAACGCGTTTTTCAACATGGTAACATGGCCAGGATGCTTCCTTCGTTATCTTAAAATTAAAACTTTAGGGACTGTTATTCCTAATAATAATAATGATGATGATGATGATGATGATAGTAATATGTTGCTTGTTTCGGGCAAATTAACATATGAATATGATCAAATGCGCCTTACATTTAAATCTAACCTGATATACAAACTATAAAATATACAAGCAAAATTATATAACATAATCCTAAATTAATTAAAACCCTAAAAAACTGATAAGAGGCATATAAATCTTACATTTAAAATTGTTGTAAAATATGAATAAAAATTAAAAACTAAATCTAACACTAAAATACAAGTTAGAGTAATCATGCTAACAGAGGCTCTAGGTGTTACAAGCAAATGCTTTCTTGAACAATTACGTCTAATTGCTCCTTTGACAAAATCATATAAACTTCTAATTGCTGAATCTTGATAAACGTGTGTTACAGGAGTGTTGAAGAGCAAACTATTGCAGTCCACAGGACCCTTAGCAATGGCATGAACAAGGAACTAAGTAGCCTCGCCTTATCAAGTGCCCAATTATACACCGAGAAAGAGGCGGGAAGCCAAGCTTATCGCTTGCCCAACTTACTTCAAACGTATCTGCCATACTCAACGACAGTGAACAGAAAATATACATACATTTTGCGGCCTTATTTCCGTTATCTTTCTTAAACGTCCCGTCTTCAATAACCCTCTAGAATCTGTGGCCAATAATGGCTATAGCCGTTTTTCTAACTTCTGTTGTTTCCTTCTTGTAGTCGCTGGAGATTTTCTTCGCCCTAACGAGCCCATCAACATAACTATGGAGCAGAATCAACCGTTTCTTCTTCGCTGCCCACCTCGTGCGTACAGCTATCGTGTGACTTACGACTGGATCGTTCAATCATCACAGATCTCAATAGCAAGCAATCCCTTATTCGCTCCACGAATCCTCATGGAGCCAAGTGGAGATTTGCTTTTCTCGTTCGTCGACGCCAGTCAATTGGACCCAGTCCAGTGCAGAATAACGGATCTTTTCGGACGTAGACGTTCAGTAGGCCCTCCAATGTATTTACTCGCCACAATTCCAGGTACTAACTGACCGATATTTTCAATATTGACTGTGAGCTGTAGTATTATCTTGACTTTTATAAAAATTTCGCTTTCATTGATACCAATAATCGAAATGGTCCACTTAAAGACTTTTTTACTTCGTCATAGCGCTTTAGATAAGGTTTTAAGTTAAGCTAAAGAAATGTATAGTTTGCCGAAAGATCACAGAAGTCTTTTTTATTCTTTAAAAAAATTGATATTGACCATCTTAGAGCGCCCTTGCCTCTGGTTTTTGTAATATCCGGAACAATCAAGGTCGAGGTAAGTGTTATCACAAAAACCGAATCTAATAATTGTTTTTTATTATATAGATACTGATGAAATACCAGGATTTTTCCTTTTACTAAAAAATCATATTTTCATCGCGCGCAGTGAAGATACTATTTTTATCTTTCACGAGTGAGGATATTGGTGTCGCCATGGTTACTAACATTAATTTTGACTTTTCGGATCACTTTTATATTCATAATAACAGAAATAAAGAGGAAATATTGAAATATAGGCTCAAAGTATTGTAAAAACACTGTCCGTAAAACGCTATCCACTGGTGAAATTAACGTGATAAAACGACAAAGCTTTTACTATAAAAAAAAAGTTTTGTTTTATGTAGGAATTTCACCAGTATCTATAAAATAAACAGAACATTACACGGCCGCTTGGGGATACGAATTTTATCTCTCGTGCTGAAAGTATCTCTCACGAGTGAGCGAAGCGAACGAGTGAGAGATACTTTCAGCACGAGAAGATAAAATTCGTATCCCCAAGCGGCCGTGTAATGTCCTCCATGTCCTAAATGTAATAATAATTTGCCCTAAATGTAATAAACTCTAAGTTGCCAACTACAGTAACTACTCGAATATGCGCAGCCCTCAAATAGGCGCCACGTTTGGGAGAGAAAAGTTAATAAGCGCCGCGGCGCTTATTCGCGTTAATACGGTACTAAGCGGAATTACTATGTTATTAAGCCCCGGTCTCAAATGAGCGCCGTATCTTTGGAGAAAAAAGTTAATAAGCGTCGCGGGGCTAATTCGCGTAAACTCGGTACATTTCTTTATACACTGTGGAACTTAACTTTTACCAGGACCTGCTTTTACAAATAAATTACTTGTAAACGACAAAATAAAAAAAAAACTTGTGAGCCTTAAAAAGTTTTTCATAGTTCGTTTTTGTTAAAGAAACTTACTGCAAAAACCGTGGATGAAGACCCCGCTGCTTGTCAACGTTGGATCTCTAGAAAAGAGAACTAATCAGCTAAAATATTACTGAGATAAAAAAATGAGAAGTCCAAAGACTACTGCACAGCTGATTTATTGCAAAACAAGAACTGGTTGCACGTACAAGCCTCGTGTAGAAGACTTCGCGACTGGTAAGAATTTCTCTTCTTATCAGTATCCTA